TCCTCAACATTTCTCATCTAGATTACTACAAAAGACGGATCATCCCGATACCAGTCTCACCCCAGCCAGAGTGATCTAAGACATAGCACTGCATTACCCCGCTGCCTGCAACCCTTCAGTGACTCCCCATAACTCTTAGGAAAAGAGCAAGCCCCTTAACAGGGTTCACAAGATTCATCCACACTTGATCCATACTCCCCTCTTTAAACCCAGTCTGAACAACTGGTGGTTTCTCGAACACACTGTTAAGGGACCATCTCCAAATCTTGGTCCTCTTGTCCTCCTTGCCTCAAATCCTTTCCTCCTCTCCCTTCCGGTTAGTTCCCCTGCTGCTTTAGGTGGTTCTCAGTCTCACCTGAATCAATTTCTTCTACCATGCCCTCACACAGTGCCCTACACTGCCCTACCACAGAATCTATCACATCATACTGTAATATAATAATACACAGCAATATGCTGCTTTACCTCTCCCCTACTAAACCATAACAAAGAACACAGCGTATTTGCTTTATTCATCGCTGTATCCCCAGCTTCTAGCATAGCACCTGGGACAAAGTAGCCATGCCATAAATGTTTATTGTTCAAATGAATGATCTCAAGGGGGGAAAATGGTGAGGGAGAGAGCAGTCTTGTGAAAGAGGAAAAGATGTCAGGACAGCGGTCATAGAGGGAAGAAAGACACTGACCTTCACTGAATGGTTATGGAAATCCGTCACTACAATCTCATTCTTGTTGTTTACAGCCACAAAATGGGGCCCTGAAAATACAAAGCAGTCTCTAGGGCAGTAAAATGGGATACTGCATGGGATGGAGAAGAATATCTGGGATGATAAAGCTGGGGCGTTGGAAAAGGGGTGGGGTCTCAGAGGCTGACAGGTATGGTACCAAGGTATAGTGAAGGGAGGGGGTCCTCTGGAGCCAAGATATGGGGGGGTAGTTGAAGCTGGGGTATCCGGGGTAGTTCTCTGGGACTGGGGTATCAGAATAGATCTCTGAATTATTCCCCAATACCTGCAAAGTGGCGGTCAGTGGCACCACGGCCCCCAAAACGGCCAACCAGCTTGCCATTGGGCTGGAAAGTAAAGACGCAGCAAGACTTGTTGTCGACCACAATGATATGTCCATTCCGGTCTACGGCCACTCCTTTGGGGCCCATGAGACGGCCAGCTCCAATCTTGGTCTGGAAGAAGGGGATACCCATTAGGGCCTTTATCCTGCCTTGTCGGGAGAGTAGTCCCAGCCTGACACTAAAGGAGAACCTTGGGCTGGGGATGGACACTAAAGGAGAACCTTGGGCCGGGGATGGTCACACCCTGACCAGCAGGAGGCACTAGAATGGTCACCTGAGCTGGCCATTAGGAATGCAGAGCACAGTGACAGTAGGCCTCTCACCTTGAATTTGCCCTCAGGGGAGAAGATGCTGACCCAACGGTTGTCATAGTCTGCCACAATAATGTCTCCATTGGTGTCCACTGCCACACCTGTAGGGCGCTGCAGCTGCCCAGGTGAGCGCCCTCGGACCCCAAAGCGGAACTTGAACTGGCCTTCATTGGAGAAAACCTGGAGCAGAGGAGCAAGGGAGGGAGCGGGGAGGAGGGGAGAGACTGTGGGCACAGAGGGAAGGGAGCAAGATCCTGAGGGAGGAGACCCCCCCCCCGTTCATTCAGTCATTCAACAAACATTTACCGACACCATGCTGGGGGTACAGTGAAGAATCAGACAAGGCCGCAGACCTGAGGTGACATGTAGCACAGGTATGAACAGGGCTGTAAGAATATGAGAGGGAATATGGGGCACCTGGGTGGCTCAGTCAGTTAAGCATCCTACTTCAGCTTAGGTCATTATCTCATGGTTCGTGGGTTTGAGCCCCGCATTGGGCTCTGTGCTGACAGCTCGGAGCCTGGAGCCTGCTTCAGATTCTGTATCTCCCTCACTCTCTACCTCTCCCCTGCTCACACTCTGTGTCTTAAAAAAAAAAAAAAAAAAGAATAAGAGAGAGATAAGGGGGACTGGCCAGGAAAGGCTCTGAAAGATGAATATCTGAGCTAATAGCCTAATAAAGATGCCAAGAGATGAACCAAAGCTGGCCAGTAAAGGAGGTGGAAAGGCACTTTAAGCAGAGTCAACAGTGTGTGAAAGGCACAGGGTGCAGTATGGGCACTGCTCGTCCAGTGAGGCTGGATTGCAGGGAGCACTCCCATGAACAGCAGGAGTAAAGTTCCCCCTGGGTATAATGAGAATTCACTGAAAATTTCTGGGCAGAGGAGTGACAAGATGAGATCTGCTTTTGTGGTATAACAAGAAATATATTTGGTCTTTGTCCCCAGTGCTTGGCACTCTTGGAATTTCCTGATTAATAGGATTGTCTTTTGTCATTCACAAGGAGCCCCTTGTGACTTAGGTGACTTAGGGTGGGGCCCCTATGAAGCTTCAGGATGAGGCTGGTCACCAGAAAGACCTGATGATTAAAGGGTTGGAACTTTCAGCCCTATCCACCAACCTCTGAGAAGGAGAAGAGGGGAATGGTACAGATCTGAAGTGCCTCCATGTTGGTGCCGGGAGGGTGGCGCACCCCAATTCCACAGGGACCAAAGTTCCTGCAGTAGTGACTCTTCCAGACCTCACCCTCTGTACTTCCCTATCTGGTTGTTCGTCTGTATGCTTTATAGTATCCTCTGTAGTAAACTGGCAAACAGAATAAAATGCTCCTCTGAGTTCCATGAGTCACTCTAGCAAATTAATAGAACCTGAGGAGGGGGTCCTATGACACTCCAATTTATAGCTGGTCAGTAAGAAGCACAAGTAACAACCCAGACTTGTGACTGGCATCTGATGTGAGGGCAGTCTTGTGGGAAGTGATGCTATCTTTATAGGTAAACAGTGTCAAAACGGAGTTAAATTTGCAGGACACCTGGTCAATGTCCACTGAGAGTTGCTTGGTGGTATTGAAAAAACCACATGGGTGCTTTTAAGAAAGAGCACTTTGGCTGCAGGGAGGGGTCAACACTGGACACTGGCTGGGTAGCCAGAGGCACTGCACTAGTCCAGGTGAGAAGTGATGATGGCTTTGACCAGGGTACTTGCTGGAGTGAAGATGGACTCAGGAGACATGGGAGGAAGACAACAGGACTTGGTAGCACACAAGAAAGGGCAGGGTGGTGGACAAGGATGAGCACATACAGGCCAAGGGGCTGACAAGATAACCTTCCTCCTGGACAGAGTGAACCTTCTGACCTTTTCCCCTCTCCTACCTTCTCTTTTAGCCACCCAACATACTCAGGTCTTCCCATCCTTCAATTCTCCCTCCCTCTATAGCCTCTTGCTTCTCCTTCACAGCCAAAACATCACTCACTACACAAGTCTCACATGATCTGCTTTGTTATAGACTCTAGGGACACAAGATGAGTCAGAGCCAGGAGCAGCCTTGGGGAACTCAAGTTCTGGGCCTTGCCCTTGCTCTTCCATCCAGACCTGCTCCCCCTAAGTGGGCTAGGCTCCCTGCCCCTGCTCCATCTCTCATGCCTGCAGGGCTGTTTGAACTAGTCCTCCCTCCTGATGTGGACTTCTATCATGCCCTCAGCTGGCAGGCCAGCACAGCCCGGGGGTCTGCCCTGGTCCCCTGTGGCAGGCCAGCACTAGCTAGCATGAGAGGGAGGCACCATCTTGCAAGAGGGACTAAAGGTGCTGCCAGATCAGCAATGAGGCTGCACGTGTGCCTCCTCCAGTCTGAACAGCTCAGTCTCCGGCTCAACGCTGAGGCTTGGAGTAGGGGTGAGGGGGAATGGAGTAGGCTCTTCCCATCCTATCCTATCCCACCCCTGACACCTAGCCAACTCCTACTCATCTTTTGATTCTTAGAAATTTCCAGGTCGCTTCTTCAGAAAAGCCTTTAATGACCAACTCCAGCCCTTAAATCAATATATACGCATAAAGGTAGGCCTCCATGATACATGCTTTACAGTTCTTTTGCTAACAAATGACACTTCTGGAACTAACTGCTAAACACCCTTGTCTCCAAAGGATGTAAGCCTCAGGTGGAACAGGGACTGTCTGCCTTATTTGTTACTGCATTTGCAGCACTGGTACAGTAACAAGTACATGAATTCCTCAGCTCAAGCTCAGACAGAACTGGCCATCACCACTAGGGTGCCACACAGCCATATCACACTCATCATGTGTGCAAGAGAATTCATCAACTTATACCCAGGCTTGCTCCTGAAAGGCAGCACCAGCTACCCGGTGCACCAAGTCCTGCCGTTCTTGACCCCTTCTTCTCCTTTGACATGTGATGGCCCATTATCATCTGACACATTTGTTTTCTTAACCTCTCTAGAATCTGCTGGTGCCCTAGTCTGGTCCTTAACATCTCTCTCCTATACCACAGTAGCACTAAGTAACTTCAGGATCTGAGTCTAGTTGAGGGGAGACAGACTAATAAAACAAAACAAAACAAAACAAGCTAGTGATTCTGGTAAAGTATGAAAAATGTGATAGCAAAGGCGGAGGGAACTCAAAGGAGAATGTGATTAATATTCTTCCTGAAGGAAACGAGGAAGTCTTCACAGAAGAGCTGATAAAATTTCTGGACTAAGATGATTACACACGGATATAATATATACAAATAAAATTCTTCATTCAAAATCACAAAATATTTTTCCCTTCTGTCAGCTGATGCTGATTCAGCACAATGAAGGGATTTGTCTCAGCTGTCACCACAGACCATCCAAAGGAGGAAAAGTTCACAAGGTCACCAAATCTCACTGTTTGGGAAGTGAGGTGGGAAGGCAACATCCACCTGGGGCCCGGTCCCTACCAAGCTGGGGGACCCCAAAATAAAAGAAGCAGAAACTCAGCTCGGGGATCTGAGAGTCCAGGTCCTAGTGGTTATGCCGCTGGGGTGCTGATGGGAATAGGAATGAGAAGAAGGGCTGCCATAGGAGTGGCGGGTGTCTGGAGGGGAGGGGGGTTGCTCCAGGCCCTCCTTCTCAATTCCCCAGCCCCTCATCAGGGAGACAAAGCAACATGCATCTTTGTGTGCATGCGAGCACTCATGTGTGTGCACACCTGGGAAGGCTTCCCAAATCTCAGCTCTTGTGCCAGAAGGCATCCCCGGCATAAGAAGAAGGAAAAGAACTAGAAGGTGAAGGGTGGGACTGAGTAGGGACCTGGCACCAGCCCTACTCACCTCATCCCTCCCTCGCTATCTGGGCTGGACCCAAATGCTGCCATGTGCTACCCTGCACCTCTTCATTCCTCTGCTCTTAGGAATAGCAGAGGAATCAAAGCAGGTGGGACAGTACAGGGAATGTAGTCATGGAAAAGTTCCTGGCACCTTCAGCCTGCTACATGGAAAGCAGGGGTTGGGAAGAGCTGACACTAAGGTGACAGACCTTTGGCAGAGCTGGAAGTGTGACAGGGGTACTCAGTCAGGGTTAGGAAGGACTTTAAATGTATAGGTGTAGGGGGACACCTGGTGGCTCACGTTGGTTGGGCGTCTGACATCAGCTTAGGTCATGATCTCGTGGTTTGTGGGTTCGAACCCCGCATCAGGCTCTGTGCTGACAGAGCCTGCTTTGGATTCTGTGTTCCCCTCTCTCTCTGCCCCTCCCCACTCATGCTCTGTATCTCTCCCCTTCAGATATAAATAAACATTAAAAACATTTTAAATGTATAGGTGTAGTGAAGTAAGAATCCTCAAGGAAAGTTTTGCCACCTGATACAATGTTTGCAAGAACTGAATGAAGTCCAACAATCCTGCACAGGATAAAATTAAAATTCCACAGCATCCTCTCTAAAACCATTTACAACGCTACCTCAGCTACTGGGCTTCTAATAGTAATCCACCTCTAGCTGGCTGGGATCCTTCCAGTTCCCTGAACAACCTCCTCCAGCACTTTCCCACCTCCTGGCTTTTATTTACAGTCTCCACCTGGACAATGATATTTTTAACAATAGCTAACATTAGAAGGTTCACCAGGTGTCACGCACAGTGCATTATGTCATTTTAATGTTCCCAGCAACTCCATGAGGTATTCTTTTCCTAATTTTACACGAGTTCTCAGAAGCTAGGGAGGTCACATGACTTGTCAGTAAGTGGCAGAGTAGGATTCAAGCCCAGGTGTCTGGTTTCAGAGCCTGAGCTTCTAACTGCTATACCATGTTTGCCAAGCTGGTGCCTGTCACTAGGCTCTGGGCTCACTCTATGGAATACAGAGAGAAAACCACGCTTCCTGGCTTTAAGGAGCTCAAAGCGCAGCATGGCCACGTCCATTTGTATGGCAGATGCTTGAATCGGGTATGTGAGAGACTGGGAGCACGGAGAGCAGGACCACCTGTGAGGTTACACTGCAGCCTCTGGAAGACACCTCTTTTCACAAGTTACCCCCATTTGGGGGTAGCCAAACCAGATGTTTTCAGAGACCCACACAGATACTCTGGAGGCAGGCTGGCATGAGAAGGAAGCAGGGGAGGGCAGAGCCTGCATCCTGACCACGTAGAGAAAAGGGGAGAAAGTAAGCCAGCCAGGTGGAGGCTCAAATGGAGACAGAGGGGTGAAGAATGAACCAGATATTCGGGGTCCAGGAGCTGGTCTGGCCTGAGCCCCAGCCTGGGAGGTAGAGGCTGCAAGCACAGGAAAACCCTGGGGCCTAACTGCCAGGGTATTGGATAGTGTGGCCAGTGGAAGTGGGTGGGTGCGGGGTGGTGCTATGATTCATTGCTCTTTAAGGACTGATACTATCTTTAAGGACTGGTTCACCTTTCAGGAGGTGACCTGTACCCTGTTTTTTCAGGAGGCTATAGTTTGAGAACCTTTATTGGGTCAGGGGAGAGCAGGAAAGATGCTTACCTGGATACATTGGTTGTTGCTGTCTGCTACCACTATGCGTCCGCTGCTAGCTGCCGACACGCCCTGTAAATTGGTGAATTCACCCTTCTCCCTTCCTCGACTTCCTGTGGGGAAGGCGGGGGAGGGGGGAAAAAAGAATTCACTCTTAGGTCATTTTGAGCCTCCCTCCCAGATCTACCCTGCCCACTGCCCGCCCCCATCTGGCTCAGCCCTCAGCCATCTGTACCAACTCGGAAGACAAGTTCGTCCTCAATGGGGTTGTCCTTCCGTTTGCCACCTGTGCTGTACATGGAGCTGGGCCTGCGCACCGCCTTCTGGCGTACGTGGCTGCCGGGGCCGCCGGGGGACTTGACGCGGCGCTTGACGTCGTCTGGGGAAGGTGGCAGGTCTCCAGGACGCAGGGCACGCACGCGGAAAGGGCTGCCACGCACCGGCTGGCCGTAGAGCAGCACTGAGAGGAACAGCTCGCCTTCAGTGCGTGCCGTGTACACCAGCTCATACGTGCCATTCTTGTGGTCCACCACCGGCACAGGAAGGCGCGTGCCGTCGGGGCCCGTGATCTCCGCGCGCAGCTCCGCGCTGCCTGTGCGCACCAGCCTCCCATCCTTGTCTTTGGTAGTGACGGTGAGTGAGGCGGGCTGGCCCACGAGCGCCTGGCGCAGGCCCTCGCCCGTGGCCACGGTCTCATGTGCAGTGGCACTCGTGGTGAGCAGCGCACCGAGATTGAGCACCGATCGCCGCAGCCCATCGACTTCGAGGACCAGTTCCAGCTGCGCGTTCTCATGTGGCCGCTCGGGGAAGGCCTGAGCCGCCAGCGCGGCCAGCCGCTCTCGCATGTGCTTGCGCACCAGCAACACCTCCGGGGCCGAGCCCAGACGCAGGGCTTGTTCCGCGAAGCTGCAGCTGCTGCCGATATGTTCCTGCCCCTGACGCAGTGTGTCTAACTGGGTCTGCAACACCTGAGGAGGGGACAGGGGAAGGTTGGTCGCGCAGAGAGGGTCTCTGTGATTCCTTAGGAACTTACGGTACTATAGCATGAAAGAATTGCAAGAAGGTGAGTATGGGCAGGAGACCGATACCGCGGTACCAATGGGACCGTGTCGGGAGGCAGAACGTATAGTCTAGGGAAAGGGTTGCCCAGGTGTGGAAAGCAGAGAAAGCGTGGAGGCAATACAGCCATGTCACAGTGGGTGGTGGTAGGGAAGGGTGAACACACGCACCTTCTGCTTGGCCCCACAAATGGCCTCCAGGTCGCTGACCAGAGCCTGCTTGCGCTGTTGCAGTGCCTGTTCCAGGTCCTCGAAGGCTGCGCTGATCTGGGCCAGGGCCTCTGCTTTGCGCTCCTGCAGCTGCTGGCTGATGCCCCCCACTAAGGCGATAGCTGCGGACAGCTGTGGCAGTCTGGGGAAGGGAAACATCTCATACCCGGGTTGCTTGAGGATGCCCTCACCAAACCGGTCCTTCTCAGGGGGCACCCTATACTGTGCCCTCTAGGAGACGCCCTACCTCGACCTCCCTGCCTTCCCTAAGAATTTTATTTCTAGCCTCCCCAACGTCCCTCCCCTGCCCCGCTGCCCCGGTTGAGACACTCGCCGATGGCCCCCCCAGCCCAGGTCCCCAGCAGGCTCCTACCGGCCGCGCACCGCCTCGAGCTGGCGCTGCAGGGCCGCCTTGTGCTGCTCCACCACATCGCGCAGCAGCACGGTGCCGTGCTCTCGGTGCTCCCCCGCGCGGCACTCGCCGCACATGGCCGTCTCGCAGGCCTCACAGTAAAACTCCATCGTCTGGTGGCATAAGCACTCCAGTCAGGCAACGGCTACACCCCAAGCTTCTTTGTCTTCTCCCCTCCCCATCTGCCCTCCTTGCCCCTCGCCTTCCAGGTGCATCCCCTACCTGGACCACTCATCCAGAGAAACACCCTCTCACCCACGGCCACTCAGCCCCTCCCCCAACCTCTCCTCCCCCTCCACCCCAAGTCCTGGCCTCACTGGGCCTGCTTGGGCCCACCTTGCCTTCATGGTTGGGGCAGGAGAGGGGGCGGCCAGCCACCGCGCTGAGGGGGTGGGGGTCCTCGGGGTCCTGGGCCCCATCAGATGCCTGCTGCATGGCCTCCATGAGGCTACTGATGAAGAAGTTGTTCTGCAGTGCGGAGACACCCTGCTCGGGGAGGATGGACGTCTGCCGACACACCGGACATGACAGCGTCAGGCTCTGGGCAGGGATGTAGTTCTGGAGGCATCTGACCAGGGAGGAGGGGGAGTCAAAGGAAGGAGGGGTGGGCAAAATCAGTGTATCCCTCCTCATGCCGTCCAAGGATGCCAATCCTTCTTGCAATTGTACACTTCATTTTGAAACCTCTCTGGTTGGCACGTACATCTTGTCCTGCCAACAGGTGTAAAAGGCCTCACCTTTCACAACTGAGTGGAAACACATCCCTGATCTCTCTCAGGAGAGCAGACAGATCTGCATTCCTCACAGTGTGTACAAACTCCACAGGTGTTTACAAACCCTTCTCATAGAAAATGTGCAACTAGCCCCTCCACCCATTAAGTCATTAAACATTTACTGCCTACTCTTGCCAAATTTGTGCAAAGCTCTAGCGATACAAAGATAAAACACAGTGCCTATCTCTAAAATACTTCCAAATCTACAGAGAAAAAAAAAAGTCACAGAAAGAGTTTAGAGAAGTAAATAGTATAATGATAAGTGCATGGGTCCTGGAGTTAGGCTGTTTGGGTTCAATTCTTAGGTCAGTCATCTATGTCAGTCAGCATGACCCCTGACAAGTTACTTAACTTTTATGAGCCAAGGATCCTTGCTTTGTAAAATGGAGACAGCACAGACTTCACAGGGTGCTGGAGGGAGGATTAAATATGAAGTGCTCACATGCTGACTCATGGCAACCACTATATATTGCAGGGTATTATATTATTTATTATTAACATAAAGAAGACTGTACATGCAGTGATAAGGAAATGCACAGAAGGGGCATCTGGCCCAGGGTGGGAGAAGAGAACAGCCAGGAAATGCTTCAGAAGAAATGTTGTAAGCTAAATCTTCCTGGATAAATCATTGTTAGCCTAACCAAAGAGAAGTGCAGGGAGAAGAGGAAGGGTGTTCCAGACACAGAAGGTGGCCAGAAACAGCATCATGTAAGTAGGGAAGCAGTCTGAGATGGCTGGAGACCAAGTCCAAGGCAAGAAATGTAAGAGAAGTCTGGAGAGAGAGGCAGGGGCCAGTCATGGAGGGCCACATGGGCCACATGAGGAACTTAGAAATTATCCCAATAGCAATAGGGAGCAGTAGGAGCATGGTACAGCCAGGTTTACATTTTATCCTCCTCATTGCCTCTGTGTGGAGGATGAATTTGAACGTGGTGAGACAGCAGACAGGGTATGGTAGCATCATCATCATCATCATCATCATCATCCAGTTGCCATTTATTAAGTACTAAGTGCTGGGTGCTATGCTTTGTGCTTTATGTTTATGTTAATAGACTAAAAAAGGGTGAGTCATCCAAGGTAACAAAGCTAGTGAGCACTGGAGCCTGGATTCAAATCCAAGACAAAACATGTGTTTAGCCAAGATACTCTTGCAATCATCTTGTAAAAGATCTTGCGGTAGATGAGAAAAACCTGGAATTAGGCAGTAGCAATGTAGACTATGAGCTGGTACAAATTTAAGAAGTATTTAAGAAGTAAAGCAGTGGGAGGTGTTAGCTCTGAGTAGATATGGAGAGTGAGAGATGAGTCTTGGTTGACTCCCAGATTCCTAGCTTAGAGGACTGAGTGGATGGTGGTACCAATCACTAAGATGAGAAACACAGAAAAAGGAGTGGTTTATAAAGGCTTTCAGCTTTGACCTGGCTGAGTTTACTGGAACAGTGGGACATCCAGGAGGTGAGGTGCAGCAGACAGTTGGGGAAAAGGCAGGTTACAAAGAGATGGGGATGCCATCAACACTGAGAAGGCCTCTGTAGCCACAGAAGAGGTTGAGATCAGCCCAAAAGGTGGATTCAGTGCCAAGAGCAGGGCAGAGCACACAGGAAATACTGAACAAGGAGAGTAAAGAGGAACCAGTAGAGAGGTAAGAGGAGAGACACCGTCAAGACAGCAAAGAGACTAGTGCATTTCCAGAAGGAGGGAAGAAGCAGTCATCGGTGTCAAAAGCAGCTGAGGAGTCAGGGTAGGAAAGGATTGGAAAATGCCCCCTGAATTTGGCCAGCGTGAGAGTACATTCGTCTGTAAGGAAAACTGGGTGAGTGAGTGTGGGGTAGGGGTGGGGGGAGGAGAGCTTGACTGCTGCCAGTTGAAGAATGAATGGGAGGTTGGGAGTTTGGGGAAGAAGGGGAATGAAGGACTGCTTGGCCGCTAGCTGGGACAAAGGGACAAAGGAGAGTTCTTATCTGTTTGTAATGGGAGCCTTGAGCATGTTTATGCATTGAGAAGCCAGTAGAGAGGGAGACATAGAAGAGACAAGAAGAAGTGTGGACAGGTCTCTGAGAGGGGGTAATGGTTCAGGTTGGCCTGAAGAGGCCATCCTGTGAATGGGGGAAGAGAGAAAGAGAGGTGAATGCACTTGAGCACAGGGGTGAAGTTAGACACCATGCTTCACTCGCCTCAGGCAAGATCGGCTGTTGAGAGTGAAGGAGGGGTTCAGGAGACTGGTGAGGGCTGGGATTAGTCACTGGAGGGAGGACGAGAGACAGCTTGCTAGAAACACACAGACTGTGGCTGTGTTGGGAGACCATGAATCTGTGGAGGGAAGATCTGCATGGTGCACACTTTCCCATATCCTCAATCTCTCCTCTTAATGTTCTCTACACGTCTGAATCTGCATTAATTAATTTTTATTTATTTAACAAACATGATGTGCCAGGCACGATTCTAAGTGCTTCACAAATATTAACTTATTTGTGACCTAGTTTTCCCTGCAGTCCTCTCAAGTATAGAGTGGCTTGTCTCACATTCCACATTCCTTAGGGCCAGGTGGGGTTGAGTCCTCCCTGCCCCCAACTGGGACATTTCTATTCTTCTTGGAAGCTCACGCCTTCTGTCTCTACCACCCCTCCTGTTATTATCTCCACTGACCTCATGGATGCTTCCCCAGTTACTGAAGTCTTTTTTCTGGCTCACTCTCTTTTCTGTTACTGCCACCCCCATAATAGGCCCTCCATCCATGCACTCCTGCCATCATTCTCAGGGGCTCTGACATCCACGACGTGACCCATCCACCAACAGGATCTCTTAATTCCTTGACCTCCTCACACCCAGTAATCTTTTCCTCCACTTCACCTCAGCTGTCTATTCCCATGCTTTCCCCACCTCCTGTTTCTCATCTCCAGTCACTGCCAAATACTTGCAAACTCGTCAAGACCTCCTTCCTATGTGTTGAGCATACCTGGCTTACACTATCTTCCTAACTGGTTTCCTCGTTCCATTCTTGCTCCTCTGTAATCTATTCTCTGCACAGCAGCCAGAGTGAGCTTTAAAAATCTAATTTATCTCACATTATTTCCCTGCCTTAAAAAAAAAAAAATCTCTTCTCATGGTTTCCCATTGTGTTTAAAAATAAAATGTAAACACTTCCCTAAAACCAAGTTCCTCCATGAGTTGTCCTGATGCTTTTGGACCTCACTTCATCCTCCTCTTTCAGCCACACTCGCTTCTTTTGATCTCTGAACATGCCCAGTCTACTCCTTCCTGAAGGCCTTGGCATGGGTTTTTCCCATTGCCTGGAACAATCTGCAAGTCTGTCTCCTCATCCTTGGGTCTGAGGTCAAATGTCACCTCCTCAGGGAAGCCTTCCCTGATGACTCTATGTAGAAGAGCCCCTGGCCCACCCATCCCCACACACTCTGTTTATTTCCTGCAAAGCACTTAGCACAAGCTGTGACTCTCCTGTTGGATTGTTTGCTTGCTTACTGTCAGTCACCATCCACTAGAGCATAAGCTCTTTGAGAGCAGGGACCAAGAGATAAATGAATGAGTAGTGATTAACAGTGAAGGCCCTACAATCAAACCTGGATTCAGACCTTGGCTACTTACTTACTACAGAGCCTCAGAAATACTTCTTAATTACTCAGTGGCTCTGAACCCTAGTTTACTCCCCTGTAAAATGGGGGTAATAAAGTATCTGTTGTGAGGATTAAGTAATTCAATGCATGTATATCGGTTAGCCAGTCCCTGGCACATAATAAGCAATCAATACATGGTAGCTACTACTATCATAATTTCTCAGGCACTAGTTTTCTCCAGGAGTTGTCAGTGATCTGGGCCTATGAGGAGGCACAGAGATGTCCAATTACAGTTCTGATCCAGTTTTGAATGTTTGCTGCATAGGTTCTGAAAAGAACAAAGACCTGAGGGAACCATGGCAGCCAGTCAGATGGTCAGCTGGGAAAAGGAAGAGTTGAGGGGGCTAGGTGTCTACACCCACTCAAAGATGTCATAGTGGGAGTGGAGTAATGGGAGCCAGGAGTGGGATGCCAGAGTTATGACCACAGAAGTGATATTATTCTGGGTGATAGCAAGGTCCAGGCACAACTGGGAGAAAGTATGACTGAGGTGGTAAGGAGGATGCTCCTGGAGAAACAGTCGAGAACCAAGAGGCCAAAGTGAGTCGTGAAGCCATGCAGGTTGATGGAAGAGCTTGGAATAGGCCAGAAGGCTGAGAGTGTTTCCAGCTGACAAAGGAGAGAGAGCAGCAGAGCTGAAATCTTAAAGAGCATGGGGGAGAGGGGGCACTGGAAGGGGAGCAGCGTCCCTGTGGCAGAGCCAGCTTTCCACGAAGGCAGGAATCAGCGGGAAGGTGTGGGTGGAGGCAGTGGCAAGAAGACCCAGGGACCAAAGCTCTCAGGGTAAAGGCAGAGTTCCCTAACAGGTGTACAAAGCCCCTGTAGTATGGGCCCCACCTGCCTGTCTGGCTTCACCCTCACCACCTCAGTCACACTTGTGCTCCAGACTCACCTGGCTTCCTCCAGGCCCTCTTACCTGACACATTTCCTCAAGCCACACGCCTTTTCTCCCGTTCTTCCTTCTGCCTAGGATGCTCGTAGCACTCCCTTCGCTTAGCTAACTTTAGTGCACCCTTCACTATAGTGCACCCTCTGCATCACACCTTAGGTAAGCCTTCCCTCATTCTCCGCACTACAATAGATCCTACCTAAACTCTCATATCTTAGCACTTCAGGTGCAGCATTTTGAAGGGGGCAATACTTACATTTATCTATAGTCTGGCTGTATGATCCTTTGATCACTGGCTTTCTGTTTAACTATACTCTAAAAGCAAGTATGATACCTGTTTCCTTATCATACCCAATGCCTGGGACAGGTCTGGCACATAGAAATGCTCAATAAATAATATTTGTTGAATGAGTAAATAACGGATAAAGCCTAAAGGGGGTGGTTGCCTTTCACTCAGCGCCTCAGAACAACCATGAAGATAAGCAGGGAAGGAAGGACAGGCCTTCCTCTATCCTCCTACTGGTGACAAACTCTTCTGAGGCTGCAGCTTGTTGAGAGTCTGGGCTCTGTTTGATTTCTCTGATGGTATTGAAAGCTGCCTTGGTTTGGGAAGGGGCAGAGACCACGGCCCAGTGTTAGCAGCTTCTGGTCCTCTCTCACACGTTCTTGCACCAAACCCTCACCTCCTGCAGTTTGGGGTACATCTGCTCCCCTACATGTATACCCATTTTCCTCACCTCCTATAGGTTTATACATGCCACCCCCTCTCAGGGGAGGCGGCAAGGTCCTCATCCCTCCCTGGTACACACACCCTCTCACCTCTCACAAAATGTGTGCAGGCAAGGCAGGACCTTGGGGCACCGGTACCGATCCAGGCAGATGCTGCACACCAGAAACTGCTTGTCCATTGGCTGGACCTCTGGGCCAGGGCTGTCCTCCCTCTTCGCCATGGTGTTCACGGATGGCTCCTACCACTCACACCAGCCTGTGTACAGAGACATGGTCAGTCCTAGGGAAGCTCACATTTCCTCTCCCCACCTAATCTCACCACTCAAATCCCCTGCAGAGAACTAACCCCATTTCTTTCCAGACAGAGGCAGGACAGGCAGTGATTGGGAGGGAACAGGGTGAGGGAGGTGGGCTGAGTGACCTCTGAGCATGGTGCTCTGGTTAAAACCACAGACTTAGGGTTAGACTGAGTTTCAAACCCAGCTCAGCCTCTTACCAGCTATGTGACCTTGGGCAATTCATACAACCTCTCCGAGCCTCAGTCTCCTGATTTGGAATTATGGGAATAATCCATACCTCAAATGGATGTTTTGAGAATTTGCGATAGTGCCTATTGAGTACATAGTACAAGGATGCCCACTTTCAATGACACACCCATCTTTCACTTCCTCTGCCTTCCCCGAATCCTCATCCTACTGAGTCTCTCCTGTGATACAACAACAGCCTCCTAACTGGTATCCTTGTTTCCTTGCTTGTGCATTCTCATCTATCTCCCTTGCAGCTAGACCAAGGCTCCTAAAACACAGGTTCTATCTTGTCACTTACTCCCTATTAAAAGCCCTCACTGGTTCCCCATTGTCCAGAGAACAAAGTCCAAACTCCTTATGTTGGCCAACAAGGTTTAGCTTTGTTTGCTCCATACCTCCCTCTACTACCTCACGTCTCATGATTATATATGATCAGTCACAGGGCGCCCGGGTGGCTCAGTCGGTTGAGTGTCCAACTCTTAATTTCAGCTCAGATCATGATCTCACAGTTCATGAGTTCGAGACCCAGTTCAGGCTCTGCACTGGCAGCACAGAGGCTGCTTGGGATTCTCTCTCTCTCCCTCTCTCCCTGCACCTCCCCTACTCATGCTCTCTCTCTCTCTCTCTCTCTCAAAAATGAATAAACATTTATTTAAAAAATCACATTGGCTTCTTTTCAGTTCCTGGAAAACTTCTTGTTCTCTTTTGCTTCTGGGCCATCAAACATTCTGTTCCCTTAGCCTGAGATCCTCTTACAAGCCCCCCTTTGTCTGGCCAACTCCCACTGATCTTTCAGGTCTCCACATAAATGTCACTTCCTCCAGAAGGTCCTCCCTGGTTTCCTGAAGTCTGGGTTAGGTATTCCATCTTTGTATCCCTACATACCCTGTATTTCTTCCATTCTAGCCCATATATGCTATATTATAATATCCTTGTAACTGCTCTACTTCTTCCACTGCATGAAGAGTTCTTCAAGGCAGGCATGATATTTTACTTTTTTATCCCTAACACTTAGCAGAAAGCCTGACATAAAGGATTGATCTATATTTATTGAATAATTATTCCATAGTTCAACAAATATCTATTAAGTGCCTACTTTGTACAGGCACTAGGGATAGAGCGTAAACAAAACAGATATGGTCACTGTCCTTGTAATGGCGATGTTTTAAAAGTAAATAAGCAAATACATACTTATAAACTGCAGGGGAAGGAAGTGCTATAAAAAAGAAAGGATCCTGTGAGAAACAACACTGATTTGGTTGGGTGATCAGAGAAAGCCTCTCCAAGCAGGTAACTTGTAAACCGAGCTCTGAGGGTTGGAAGGAAAATGGTAGGGATGAGGGTGGGGGCATCAAAGACTGAGGGAAGGAAGTCATTCTGAGCTGAAGGAACAGCAGGAATGAAAGTTCTTAGGCAGAAGGCTCACTGAGAACCCAAAAGGACCATGTGATCAGTGCGAAGTGAATAAAAGACAAGAGGTAAGTCCGGGAAATGAGGCTGAAATGATATCACCAAGGACCTTGAGGTTAAGGATTTGGACTTTATCCTGATTGGGGGTGAGGAGGAGGGATGGTCCAATTTACAAAAAAAATAAAAACAAAGTTAAAAAGCTCTTCTGGTAGCTATGAGGATTGAGGAGAGGCTAGAGTGGAAGCAGGGAAACCAGTTAGGAAGCTGCCTCAGTTCTTTGGGTCAGATGATGTTGGGTACTGGCAGAGATATAGGCAAAAAGGTAGAATGATTTGAGAAATATTCATGAGGTTGAATCAAAAAAACATCACAATGGATTGGGTGTGAGAGGGATAATGGAATGCCAGTAATGACTCCCAGGTTTTTCACTTAAGGAAGTGGTAGGCCATGCCTAGAGATAGTAAAAGTTGAAGAACTGATCTGGGGCATTCCGGTTTTGGCATGCTAGGTTTGAGACGCTATATGATATCTGGGTAGAGATGTAAAGTAAGGAATAGAATAGAATCTGTCTGGTTTTGGAAGCACTGGCATATTAACAGCACTTAAAGCAATGAGAATGGATGAGGCCTCCTAGAGACAGAGAGTGGAGAGTGAAGGAGAACCCAAAGGAATAGAAAAAACCCAAGAGACTGTGGGACTCTTCCAAAGAAGAGAATGATTCCAGAAAGAAGAGATGGTGAAGTAAGATGAAGACTGGAATGCCCACCAGGTTTGCTTCTGGTGGCACAGTAGGGACAGCAACCAGGTTAGAGTTGTTGAATGATGAATGGAGATGAAGAAATTAACACAGTGGCATAGACAATTCATGACAGAAATGTGGCCATGAAGGAAGGCAGAAAAATAGCTGGACTACTTCAAAATAGGAGATGACTAGAATCAGGTAACAACTATCTGTGCCCAGCTAGATGTATCATGGGCTTCTGTAAAAATAATGAATGAATGAATGAATGAATGAATGAATGAATACATGCATGCAGTGGGGCCAGTCCAGAGCCCTCTCCAGGTTTGAGGAGGAACAGGGGGCTGAACTGCATGTGTCTTATGTTTGTAGAAGGGTGGGAATGAGTAGGAACAGGATAGGAAGGGCATCCCTGAGAGCATCCTCTCCCGATGTGGGCACTGGGACTCAGAGGTTCTCTCTCCAGAGAGACTTAACACCAGGACAACATAGCAGGAAGAGGACAGATTGAGGGTTGGAGGAAGGAACAGGAGGTGGGAGCCAAGCTGAAGCTTCTGTCTGATGAAGGGGAGGGCTGGGAAGAAGAGTAGGAGTGGTCTACCGGGTCCTGCTAAGGCAGCTGGATGTCAGGCTCCGCCTCTCTCCAAGCCCAAGGGGCTCTCCCAGCCTGTCACACAGGGGCGGGGACTGGGCTACATCCAGGACGGACAGCTCCTCCCTCCCTTCCCCTTCCTGCTTCAGTTCCCCACCCAGACTTGCCAGGCATGCAACTGCTGAGGCCATACCCCAGACTGAATCACTAAGAATCCCTTCTTCTCTTGGGCTCTTATTCCCACCTCTCCCATCCCACCGTGTCCTACAGATCTGCCCCCAAAGTCCTCTAGGCAATGGTTTAAGTGGACTGTTTATCACAGCAGAAACTTGGAGGATCTTGAACTTAAACCTGAGATTCAACCCTCCTTCCTCAGGCTGCCACTGCCATCCCTGCATCCCTTATCCTACCCATCTTTTATGGCTCAGTTCTAAAGGCACTTCATTTCCCCAATCAGCATTCACTCAACACCTCTGTTAGGACTGGGAACACAAACATAAATAGTCACAGTGCAGCCTTCATGGATTCCAGTCTAACAAATAGATGACTGCAATGTAATATGGAAGGCTTTGTGGGGAAGCACAGGTTGCTCCAGGAGCACAGAGGTCACCTAACCTAGAGCTGGGGCAGGGGAGGGGGGTTACTAGAGGTTGGGGGTCAAAGGAGTTCTCCTAAGAAAGTGCCTTTCATGCTGAGAGCTCCAGGATGTGTAAGAGTTACAAAGCATGGTGCCTTCTGCATCAGGAGACTGAATCACACACTGTGACAGAGGTGGGCTAAGAAATGAGATGGAGTGATAGGCAGGAGCTAGATCATACAATGCTTTATTGGCCTTATTAAAGAGTTTAGACTTTACTCTTCCCTGCTTGGGAATTAAGTCATCATCCAAAGAGCAAAGGAAACCTTGGGTAGGGTGGGGGGGGGTGGGGGGTTTAGGCGGGCAAAGAGGGTTTAAGTAGAAAGTAATAGAGTCAAAAGAGTAGCTTTTTGACTGCTGTGTGAAAAACTGTTTAGAGAAGTTACCAGGGGAAAAGTGAGACTGCATGATATTCCACAGGAGAGGTGATGGTGGCCTTGACTAGGGAAGAAGCAAAGGGGAGGTGGAGAGAAGTAGATTTCACAGGGAGGAATCAACAGAAATTGATGACTGGTTGGTGTGATGTGAACAGTAGATGGAGAAGAAAGAACTGGAGATGATTCCTTGTTTTCTGGCTTGGAAACTCTAGGAGAGGAGCAGCTGGATGAGAGGATAAGTTCAGGGTTTTAATAAGACAGATCTGAGAAGCCTATTGGGCATTTTGAGTGGAGAGGTCCAGCTGGCAGTGGGAAAGTTAGGCTGGAGCCTAGGAAAGACAGCGGCCTGGAGATAGGGATTTGGGAGTTACTGGTGTAGACATGGTGCCCGAAGCCATGGTATTGGCTGACATCACCCAGACAGAGCATAAGGAGAGAAAGGAGAGACTGTGACTGTGCTCTGAGGAACTTCATCATTCAAGGGATAGGTCCAGGAAACAAAGCTTGCAAAGGAATTGAAAAGGTTATGGCCAGAGAGGCAGGAGAAACAGGAAAGAGAGATATCATGAAGACCAAGGAAGAAGAAGCTTCATGGATAAGGGAACAATCTTCATTGTGAAACACTGCAGAGAATCCCCAGGATCTAAAGCCAAAAAGAAGCTGTCACTAACTTTAGGGAGTATGGTTTCCAGGGGCTGGAGGAAAGGAAGCCAGATCCAGAGGGTGAGGAGGAAGTTGATTTTGAGCAGATGAAGAAAGCCAGTGCTGACTCCACTAGATCCTTGGCATCTGCAAAGGATATGTCTCAAGGCTTTTCAGTTTCTCCAAATTCTCAAACAGCATCCAATTTCCCCCATGACTTCCTCCTACAGACTTACGAGAGTCCCAGTATACATGCTTCACACAGCTGTGACTGGAGGTAGGTGACCACGGCATTGT